TTCGTCCCAGTATACAACAATGTATACACTGAGGATCAAGTTCGAGTACAGGAGAAGCTGATGTTCCATCGTCTTTTTTGGGCTTTTAAACCATGCATTGACGGTTTTGGGTTCTGCATACCGGTTATTCAGGTATTCTACCAACTGGTTCCGGTTTTAAATGTTGTATTATTTTCTGTTACGTATATTTCATACTAATTAGATCCTAATTTTTTATTAAGGTTGACGGAACTTTCCTTACTGGGAAGTACAGAGGATGTCTTCTAATTGCCACTGGCGTTGATGGAAACAGGCGGATTTTCCCGCTTCATTTGCATTAGTGGAAGGGGAGAACAGCTTAAGTTGGGCATGGTTCTTTGACCAACTACACGAACACGTGACACAGCGGGAAGATATTACGATTATATCCGATCGACATGCGGGGATTAGGAATGTTGTTGGTGGTTTTCCCGACGAGTGGGGATGGAGATGGCGATGGTGTATTCGACACTGGCTCGCCAATTTCCAGCACAAATTTGGGAAGAAGAAAGACATCAAAAATCAACTTTGGAATGCAGGTACTAATGTTTTTCTTATGCGATTTAAGTTTGTGTTTATTAAGCTGATGTTATTCATCATGTATTGACCAGTTTCGATTTTGTTCACCTTTCAGCGGTTGCACATCAACCAAAAAGTACGAGCAGAAGATGAAAACGATCCGTCAGACCCACCGAGCTGGAGCAGTATGGGCTGAAGGTCAAGAGTTGCCCATGTGGACGTTCCATATGGACAACGGGGCCAGATGGGGCATTGCAACTACCAACCATGGAGAAAGTATAAATAATGTGTACAAGGGTCTTCGAGCGATGGCTATTTCTGTCATCGTGGAGATGTCTTACTGGAAGGTCAACGAGTGGCGAGTTGCTCGGCTACAGCAAGCTATAGGGAGGGAGTTGCAAGGTCATTCAATAGCACATGACGTATTCGCTCAAATGCAGAAGAACGATGAAAAATCAAGTAAGCATAAGGTTGTTCTTTTTAACCGCAGTGAAGGAATATTCGCTGTGGAAACAGGTATATGGGGTGGAGGGAGACGTGGTCACAATCGTCAAACGGTTAAATTGCACTACGAATTAGGGGAGTGTTCTTGTCAAAAGTATCAGAACGAAAGGATACCCTGTTCACATGCAATGGCGGTTGCTAAGTCAATAACCATGAACAGAAACAGCCTAGTGAGTCCTTACTACACTGAACAAGCGATATGGAACTCATATAATGCAGCTTTGAGCCCCATGCCAGATGAAGCGTATTGGCCTATATACGCTGGAAAGTTGATTATCCCACTGTTGCACCTAAAACGCACCAAAGGCCGTCCTAGAGTTGAAAGGATACACAATGAGATGGATCAAGTTGAACGGACGAGAAGGGGACCGAAGCGATGCTCTAAGTGCAGACAACCTGGTCACGACAAGAGACGTTGCCTAGGACAACCACTATCTTAATTTGCATTTACTTGTATCCTGCTACTAAATTGATCGCTTGTTTAAATTTTCATTACCGCTTGCATTTGAAGTCCACATATTTTGTTAACTCTAAAATGTTCTCCTTGTCGATACGATCGCGCTGCCGCAAACGGCTCGTTATTTCGACCTCAAACGAATAAGATATGCGCGTTTTAGTTTTTAGTACGCAAAAGTTACTTTAACGACATGTGCAGCTTTGAACTCACTTAACTCACTCGTTTGGACTCGGAATTGAGATCTGTAAAATTTTATGTGATCGTGGTTGATTTTCCCAACTTTTTCGTGTTGAGGGAAGATACTGATTCTTGATAAAATGATCCAGAATATTCATTCGACAACTTAAGTGCGTAGGATAGTTTTTAGACAATGCAAACTCAAATAACAACACCTAAAATGATAAACACGATAAATTCACTACAATGGATAGTTCACTACAATGATAAACACGATAAATTCACTCATTTGCTTCATTTTGGCCCCCATCTCTACCTCTTCCTCCTCGTCCTCCACAACGTCCTCGACCCCTTCTTCCCCCCTCCGCCGCTGCTTCTTGGCGGGCTCGCTCAACGGCTGGTCGCGGATTTCTCTTGACGCGAGCCCCAACTGGGGTTACATATGGTGGTGGTGGTGGCTGAGATGGACCGGTAGCTTGACGGTGGATCGGGGGTAGGGATGGAAATTACCCACCCATGGGTAATTTTACCCAAATCCAAATAGATCCATTTAGTATGGGTAGGGTTTGGATGAAGTGTATATGGGTTTGGGGGTTTGTAAATGGGTTTGGGTTAGGTATGGATATTGCTTTCATAATGTAAATGGGTATGGGTTGGATATGGATATCCATTTACTTGAGGGTGTTTTAACTACACACACAAAAATTGGACCTATTTGTAAAACTTGAAAAGTTTAGGTACCAAAATGTAAGACCAAAAAATTTTAGGTACCAAAACGTAATTTTCCATCGATATTTTGAGGACTTATATGCAAAAAAAATTTAGGTACTAAATCTTTATATCTATTAAGTTTAGGTACCAAACTGTAATTTTTCTTTGGGCATGGGTACAAATCCAAATCCATGTGTTAAAAACCCAACCCAACCCAAGTAAATGGGTATGGGTACAAATCCATCAAACTCTACCCATCTACCATTTATTTGGAATCCATACCCAACCCAATTGGGTTGGATAGTAAAATACCCATGGGTATGGGCAAAATTGCCATCCCTAATCGGGGGGTGCGGAGTTTATTGCTGCGGGGTCTGATACATCGAACTCTGTTGCTGATGTTGGAATTGAGAGAACCCATGAGAGAAAGTGTCCCTTTCCTGAGATGGACCGTGACTCGATGACCCTCCACCGGCATCCGCTGCAGGTGCCCACTGGTACTCGAAGGCTTCAGGGAGCTCGGTTGCTTGAGTTGTACGCACCTCTTCGAACGTAGGAAGAGGCCTGCGTTTGCTCCTTCGTGGAGGCTCAACCGGGGGCACAATGGGTGCATCATCACGGAATGAGGGTCGTGCCGGGGCAGGAACGGGAGGATAGGCCACGACATCCCTCCTTTGCTCTCTGGTACAACTCAGGAGGTTGTTCATAAGTCGGGTCAACCAAGTAGTCTTCCGCTCATCCATGGTTGGAGCACTTTCGAGAGTGTACTTGGCGTGTTCCAAACCATCAACCTTAAGAAAGCACAAAATATATCAAATTAACTAAACCTTAAAATAAATTTATTTTAGAATGAGGGAGTTTAGGATGACTTACCAACGAACCCATCACAACACCTTGCTTTGACACCCATCTCATGGTGAACTTCCGATACCACTGCATGTACCCATCGTGGTAGCCCATCGGTCTCGTCTCCGGCATCCCTTGCACCACCCATTGGGATCGATTCTCCCAAATGTTGATGTAGAATTGATGCTTGAGGAGCCAGTTCTTTGCAGTGTGTCGGAGGTCGATAGCATGTAGCTCCCTGAAACCTTGAGGCGGGTCTTGTGGAATTGGTTGCTCCATTCGATATTGCCTCAAGGATCGATCGGGTAGGTGCCATTCCACCATGTGCCAGCAGATCAATGGCACCTTGCACAACCACGTCTCGTGATCTAGAGGGTGTCTAAGATGATGCAGCTCAAACACTTCACGTGGATATGGATCCCATATAACCTATATTCATTCAAAATTCGGGATTAACGACCATTAACCTAGAGGGTCTCTGTTTAAAACGGTGATGCCTTCACCGTTTTAAACTAAGACGGTGAATACGTCACCGTTTTTTTAAGACGGTGAAATGTTCACCGTTTTTTTCAAACGCGGTGATAGTCTTCACTGCGTTTGTCAAAAACGGTGATGCTCAAACATGTGTACTTTTGGAAATTTTTTTATAACTTATGTATTTTGGGAATTTTTTTTAACAACTAGTGTACTTTGGGATTTTTTCCAAATATAGGTAGGTGCAAATAGGGATGGCAATGGATCGGGTTGGGGCGGGTTTTGCCAAACCCGAACCCAAACCCATGGGTTTGTCCGTCAAAAAAACCCGGGGTAAAACCCGCTGGGTTTGAAAAACTCAAACCCAACCCAACCCGCTGGGTATCCGCGGGTTGATGGGTACCCGCGGGTTTTTTTGGTAAGTCAAACCAGAGCCTCTCCCCTTCCACCATCTCCTTCCAGGGCCTCCGCCCTCTCCGTTTACCTTCCACCATCGCCAGAAAAACCTCCCTCCCAAGCCTAACCACCTCATATTTAATAGACAACCATCCTTCCATTTAACAGACAGCCAGCAATCCCGCGACGAACCCAATCAATAACAAATATTGGAAAACAAAAAGGAAGGCCAGAAAAGAGGAATTATTAAAGAGCATCGAATTGGAAACCCAAGAATTGAAAGGAAAGTTTAGTGGCACCAGCGGGGAACCCTTCCCGCGTGAGGGCGACTCTGTCTGTACCTGGTGGCGTGTCTCAGTGTCTGGCGGCGGAGTCAACGACGTGAAGGAGTTGCTGAGGAGCAGGGAGAGCCGGAGAGGGTGGCGGGGCAGAGGAGCAGGGAGAGCCGGAGAGGGCGCGGCTGGTAATGGTGTCGGAGAGGCGGAGGCAGAGCCGGAGCAAAGTAAGAGGCTAAGAGCAGGGGGAGGGCGGCCGGCGGATTGGGAGTCGGGACTGGAGATGGAGAAGAGGAGTCGCGGTCTCGCCGGAGAGGAAGAGGAGTCGCGCGGAGAGAAAGAGAGGAGTCGCGCTTGCCGATTAGGGATTGTGAATTGATTTGTGAAATGTCTCTGGGGTGGGAAGGGAAGTGGGCTGGGGAGTGGGGATGGGTAATTTAGATTTTAGGGTGTATGTCCGGGTATCCACGGGTCGGGTTCTCCCAAACCCGAACCCGCCCCAACTCGCCCAACCAGCCACCGGGTTTAAACCCGAACCCGGCCCGAACCCGATCAACACGGGTTTTACCCGGTTTGACCGGGTTGGGTCGGGTACCCGCGGGTCCGGGTTGAACTGCCATCCCTAGGTGCAAATGGAGTTCAGTGAGCAAGAAAGAGAAAAGAAGGAGCAAACTACGCAAAATTAGATACATAAAACATTCTTCTTGCTTTCACATCTTCATCGGTACTACTAATACAACACAACTAGAAACCACTCTCAGAGGAAACTGGGGATCCAACCAAAAACAAAAGGGAAGCACACACTAAAACATCTAAATCAAGAGCCCTGCTACAGGCTTAACTTCAACCCTGCACAACATGGAAGGATCATCCTAATTCACACATCTAGGCACACATTAATTACGACACTTTTCAGTCACATTCCGAAAAAGGGCCGCCGCCAATGCATCTTTACATCAACTATGTGGAGGAAGAAGTAGTAGTCAACTTGATCTTCAGTTCTATTTCTCCAGACTCGACTTCCCGGAGCTTCAGCCACACACATTGCACCACCTCACCATCTACACAACTAATGGTGCTCTCCCTCAGGAGGCAGTTATCACTGTCAGGGACTACTTTCCTCAACACTGTCTGGCCCGGGGAGGAAACGTGTATGATCTGCTTCAGTCGTGCAGCTGAGGCGATTGGTTGTAGGTTGAGCTCTGCTCTCCCCATCTTGTCATCTGCCTTGAACCGGTCTTTATCAAACACTTCCTGCACATGACACATCAGTTTGTTTCACTTCATATCCTTACGATGATGTCACTTTCCTTGACATTACAATTCTGTGTATTTAGATGCTTCCGTTGACACAACACATACTAGGCATTTTGCAAGCATGGTCGTGGCTGGAGTAAGTAAAAATGTAAAATATTGGACCTCACCAAGTTTAGTATTCCTGATAGGGGCTCCGTGAGGGAGAAAAGTAGCTCTTCATTCCAAACCGGGTTGAGGCAACTGTTTATGACCTTCGTCCTTGCTGTCTGGATCAAGATATGTTGTTGGTTAGTTTAGTTAGTAGCTGCTTAACAAGGTTGCAAAAGTCCCATGACAACATCATCCCAAATCGACAATCTAAAGTGGTCTGTTTAAGTATCTAAATTGTATCACTCACATTGCAGCTAAAAAGAGAAACTAAACTAGATTTAGTGCATTGGAGATGTAAATCAAGTCCCTATGAATGAGGAATGATAAAAACTAGCATATCATTACATGATTCTGCTGGTTTACCTGATTGCCTAGCTTGACGATTACGTATGGATCACTGGATTTGAAATCCCGAATCACCAATCTCTTCCCTTGAACCACTGTCACTTTCAGCAGCCCGTGCTGTTGATCTCCCATAGTTAAAAAAGACTCGGGGAAAGCAAGCAGTACAGCAACTCTGCAATGACGAAGAGAGCAGAATCAAATGACAAAACTCCAAGGATACAAGACAAACGTTCAGCTGAAATAGGACAGTGTAATTAAAGAGAAAGGAATATGCTTACAAATCATGGAAATTAGCATTAAGACAAATAGTTAGCAGGATCTCTCTCCCCCCCTCAAGCATGTTAATTGTACAAAAATGCTAAGCTATCAAATGCGATCCTTTCAACCAAGCATGGCCACTTTGAGAAGAACAGTAGTAATGCCCGAAACACCCAAAAGCCTTAGCCAAACAGATAAACTCCCACAAGCACCAACAGATCAAAAGGCAATACTAAAGCAGACAAACAATTACGGGTTAGCTTCAAAATTCAGCCACGAGTTGATTACCAACACCACCAAATGAACAAGCTAACAAAAGAAGAGAAGTTTACCAGTGAGAGGGAGGGAGGGAGAGAGAGAAGAAAGAATGATGCAACGCTGGTTTTAGTTTCTTTTGCAGCTGCAATTGGAAAGGGGGGAGAGAAAGAAGAGTTGCGGTGGGGAAGGGGAAATGGGAGGATTGAATGAGGAGCACGTGTGAGTCAAAGGTATTATTGGATTGTCTGTCTGGTCGTGTGTCTGTGTCTGTCCGTCTCTTTTTTATTTTTATCTTTTGGAATTTGGACGTTGACCACTGACCATGACCACGTCTGTCTACACATGGACCACTTCTCCTTAGGGATGGCAATGGGGCGGGTTTGGGGCGGGATTGTCTAAACCATCCCCATCCCCATCTTCAAATACCCAAATCCATACCCGCCCCATACCCATGCGGGGGAATGTTTTGCAAACCCATCCCCATACCCGTGGGTTTCGGGTACCCATGGGTAATACCCGTACCCATACATCCAACATTATTATACCTAAAACTTACAAGAAAATTTTTAATTATAACTCTAAACGAACCTATTATATCATGAAGTCAACAAAACACGGTCTTTTCTTAATACGGTTCAAGATATATTATCCAAAAATATCCATTAATACATAATATAGAGTATAATATTTTTCAAATTATTATATTCTAATTCTTATACATCTACTAAGTTATAATTAACTAACATAATCTTGTAGACAAAGGGAAAAGTGAAAGAGTGAAAGGAGAATTGAGGGAAATGAATTAGATTTTGATTAAAATGGTCACTCAATTGCATTTCTACTATTTATTTTCTTGAATTATCCTCATCACCATTGATAGATTACAATTTAATCCACATATTTTTTTTATATATGAAGAAATTCTCTTGGTGGGGCGGGTATGGGTATGGGTATGGGGCGGAGGAGGTCAAAACCATACCCGCCCCATACCCATCAAACTTTTTGTGGGTTTTACCCATACCCATCAAACTTTTTGTGGGTTTTACCCATACCCGCCCCATACCCGGTCAAAGCGGGGATTCCCCGCGTTGACTGGGTCGGGGGCGGTCGGATACCCACGGCCATGGGTTTTATTGCCATCCCTACTTCTCCTCTCTCTCCCCCGTTACTTCAAAACTGGACTGGATCAGCATACCTAAAGGGCCCAGGCCCGATGAGGCTCCACGAGCAGGCCGGAATACCTAAAGCGGGTCCAGTCGGGGACGTCGGCCTGTAACTGCATGGTCTACTTTTACACACAGCCTCTCATCTGATCGCAAAGAAAGAGAAAGAGACGCAGGAATTATTATAACCTTTAAAAGATCATCTTTTGCCTTACTAGCACATCCTAATGGGCGGGTTTGGGGCGGATTTGTCTATACCATCCCCATTTCCGCTTTTAAATATCTATACTCATACTCGCCCCATATTCATGCGGGGAAGGTTTAGCAAACCCATCCCCATACCTGTGGGTTTCGGGTACCTATGGGTAATACCCGCCCCGTACATCAAACATTCTAATATTGAATATTTACATGTAGATTTTCAATTATAACATTAAACGCACCTACTATATCATGAAGCCGACAAAGAGACAATCATTTTTAATACGATTCAAAACATTATCCTAAAGCGTCCATTAATCCATATCAAAGTAGAGTACATTAGTACAATGTCATCCATATCATTACTCTCTACACTAATGCATCTATTAAGTAATAATTAACTACCATAATTTTGTTAAAAGGGGAAAAAGTGAAAGAGTGAAGGGAAAATTGAGAGAAAGAAGTTAGATTTTGATTTGGGTGGCCACTCAATTGCATTTCTACTATATATTTTTTTTTTTATACTCACTATTATTGATAGGTTGCAAATTGATTCACATATTTTTCATATATGAAGAAATATTTTTGGTGGGGCGGGTATGGGTATGGGGCGGGGGAGGCTAAAATCATACCCGCCCCATACCCATCAAACTTTTTGCGGGTTTTACCCATACCCGGTCAATGGGGGGATTCCCCGCGTTGACCAGTGGCGGAGGCAGGATTTGAAACTACCCCTGTCCTTTTTTTCGTATTATAAATATATAAATATTTAATAAATATAATTAAATTAATAATATCTGAATAATTTATTTTCATATATAAAAATAACGACTAATACAATCGGTATATTCATAAACAACCATGATGAATTTTCATATTCTTAAAGAAACATAAAATATACTCTTAAGTAAGTCCTTTCCAATGGATCCCACTACACAATCATTAGCAAACTGGTTGTGAATTTAATTTCAGAGTTCGTTCTTGATATAGCTCAAAGTTGAAAATATTTTATCTACACTTGCCGTCAAAACTAGTGGAATCTACGCTACCACTGGACTGCTTCAAGATTGCTGGGAAAATAATCAAATAGACATATGAAAAAAAAGATATATTCCAATTGAGATTTGGTTTATAGTATAATAAATTAATTTAATATCAATTTATGATCAAGTAATGAATTGTGATATAGTATCAAAATACGTTGTACTAGGTGTCGTGTTCCATCCTTAACAAGCATAAACATATATGGATTATTTTGTTCCTCCCAAAATTTACCCCTGTCCCGTGACAAGGTCCAACTGGGCTGGCTCCGCCTATGGCGTTGACTGGGTCGGGGGCGGTCGGATACCCATGGACATGGGTTTGATTGTCATCCCTACTAGCACACCTGTTGGTCGGGAGAATTTTGTGAGGAATATATGATATATAATAATGAATATAATAGACAATAAGAAATGCATTAAATTATTTTTTTTTACTTTAGTTGTGAACATAACATTTTTTAAAGTGATCCTATGCATAATATTTCTAGAACTCAATGAAGAGCTAAAAATATGATACAAGCATTACATATTATTGTTAAATGAAAAAAGAAATAAATATAACTCATTATCATTCATTACTTAACTAAACCATTGTTGATGCCAAGCTCCAAGGAGCATGCTTCAATGTGTTTGAGGTCCGGTGAGCGCCGAGCTTCCTTGGCCAACGTCCGCCACCAGCCTCCGAGATGGACACCTGCAAAAGAGGAATCCGCCGACGGTGGTCGGCGGTAGGGGTGGGCATACGGTTCGGTAAAACCGAACCGAACCTAACCGAACCGAATATAAACCGAATCAAAACTGAATTAATGTTATTTGGTTCGGAATTCGGAAGGGAAAATGACATATTTTGGAAATCAGGGTCCTTTCGACCGAATCGAATTTCTGAATTCTGAACCGAATAACCGAATTACTATAATTGCAAGCTCCAAATTGTGGATTTTTATGTTTATACTTATTATAGGACTTAAATATTTGAATCATGTTAGTGTTTTATGACTTATGTGTTGAAATGTTTGATTTTATGCATATAATGGTGTATTTATTATTCACATTAAGGTGAAAAGTAATTTAAAAGAGAGCAAATACAAGATAACCTCACAAATTCGGTTTTGTATTAAAAACCGAACCAAATTATAATTCGGTTTGAATCGACTGAACCGAATTATAATTCGGTTCGAATTCGGTTTGGGGTTTGATGGAATTCGGGGACCGGGTATGCATTATTTCGGTTCGGTTTGAATCGAACCGACCGAATGCCCACCCCTAGTCGGCGGGGACCTACTCTGAAGCTCAAGTCAGTATTTGAGAGGAGAGTAACCGGGAGCGACATAGTAAGTCGGCTCTAGAGAGAGATGTAGAGTTCAATCAGAAAATGAACTCTCAAAATGAACTGTCGAGAAAACATAAATGAGCGTCCTATTTATAGGTGCCTCCTGCTTCTGGCGTAGGTGGCGTGCTCGTATTAAAATAAAAATAATACATTGCCTCCCAACCAACCCGAGTGCAATGGGTGGATGGCTACAAGCAAACACATATCAAAATAAAAATTAGAAATAAAATAAATTCATTTACCTAGTGTCTTTCTACTAAGCCACGTATATAAGTATGTGGAAGATGGGGAAATGAGAATTGCCTGCTCCACATCTCTTCTCGTCAGGGCACTTGTAGTGTAGGTGGTGATGAATTGGGGATTCTTTTTGTGACCAACTCTCTTACTAAAATCCAACTAATTGAGAGTAAATAACACACCCATCCACCTTGTCTTTTGTACGCGGGGCATGGAAAAGTGATCTTTTTAATTCATGTGTATGTGGTAAATGGTGGGTGGTAGAATTCCCAACTCATTTTCGCCTAAGGCCACGTTGGTGTTGACTCATCCATCTTTCTCTACCTCTTATCCAAGTTAAAAGGGTTGGATAAGTTTGATGATTGGTGGTTTGAGTGAGGAATAGTACAGGTAAGGGTTCCATTACCATCTATCAACTAATTACTCTTAATATTCTTAACGTGGTTGACTCATCCATCTTTCTCTACCTCTTATCCAAGTTAAAAGGGTTGGATAATGATTCGCTATGACACAACTCCTAACATAGGCCAAGTGTAACCAATGAAAGGGACTGCAGTATAGTGGCTCAAGTAATAAATATCGAATCCACGGGTCTCTAGAGTTACTATTACTCAGCTTCAGTTCATTATCTAGCAAACCAGATTAAGATGAAAGAACTAAAACTACTCTAACACACTACAGTTAAGGTTAATCTAATTACAGGTTGGGAACTCACTTAGGTATGATTCTCCCTAGCCACTAGTCAGATTAATGATTGATGATTTCTAACTTGTTTCACTTTCATTCACAATGCAGAGAATCCTTGACTAGACCTTGAATCTCGACTAAAGGATCAAGGCCCTCTTGAGTTGATTGCCTAGAGGGACGTATCCTTCTCTAGAACAACCGATCAAGGCGTTCTGAACTAGATTCCCTCTATCGAATGAGGTTCTCAATCGATACAAAGCAGTGAATCAACCCTCGACTAAAGCA